TGAACACTCTTCATGATAAATGCTGTAGAAGATTCCCCACATCTCCACACAAAGCCAAGTGATCAAGCCGCTCGGACAGTAGTGTCAAACGGTGTCATCGTCATTTTTAATAATCATGTTTTTATCCTAACCTTTGCACCTTAATGTTTTCCCTCTGTTAGTAAATTTATACGTTATGACGTTATTGCTAATATTAAGTATTGATTATTTTTTTGTAATATAGAATAAGTTTTAAATTTTTCTTTTTTTAAATGAAGTTGTCTGGAAGATCGCATAATTGTTTTTAATTTTATTATTTTCTTTATTCATGTTTGTGCGATAAATTATATAATATACGACTGGTAAGTGTCTGCAAAATATATAAAAGTCACTTTCCGTCGCTGTACGCAATATTAAAAGTACGCTTTATTATCTTGTAGGTATACAAGGCCAAACACGGTGATTGTTTGAATAGGTATTTACCGAGCCACGTAGTATAGCAAATGTAAAGGGTTACTAATGTTATTACATCAATGGTTGCATACTGAACGTAAATCATTTATCAGTGAAAACGGTTACAGATCAAGGTGCTTCGGGTCACTATTATTACACCATGGTATATCAAAAATAATCAAAAAAGTCTCGACAAGGATCTTAATGTGGATACAGTCCTAAATACGGTTTGTCTTAGCTCACTTAAACAGGCTACATAGCTATTTGAATGACCAGCAATTCAACTTCTTGACACAACTAGAATAAGACGCCTAAAGAGAACTAAACCTTTTGAGTTATTAAACCTAGTGTAATTAATATAAGTGCGTAATCTCGGACACACGAGAATATACATAGTACACTAAGACTGCAACTAAACATTACCTAAGTTGAAGCTACTATTAAAGCTTAAGTATTGTGAAAAATTAAGTCAACATAATATTATTGCCATAATTATTTTATAGGCTAAATTGTAATTCATGTCACGCACTCTTTATTGTGAAATTTATTGTAAGAAAAAAAATGCGTGCGTACTAAGTACACACGTCAGGAGTGAAATTTCTTTGGCAAACCAATTTTACTCTTATTCATATTTATACAAATCTAAAACTTTAGATTTCCGAGACTTGTTATGAAGATATGTTAGGAATTTAACGAATTTAATTGTCATTGAAATATTAACCGCCAAAAATTAATACAAATAATAAATTTCATTTTATAAATTATATCTTCCACAATATAAACACGTGGCTTTTTAATTACAATTCGTCATTTGAGATTTCAATAAATTATTTTGTATAAAATATAAAATACTAATATTTCATAAGTTCTCTTTACGAACTTTAATTTGAAAAATAGAATTTCTATAAGGTAATTCACCCTCCTCACTCTCTCCCTTTCGACAAAAACGCTGCACATCTTCGTGACGTTCCGTAAAATTTATACCCTAATGCGCCTAAAGAATTTCACTTTAAAAATAAGTGAAAATAGTAATATTAAAGAGTAAATAATAGGTTTACTCCGTACGTATATATCAAAATATTAGGGACTTTTTAATTTCGAAGCAAACCCATGCTGCAATTCTTTGGCTCCAATTATTTTATTTTCAGACAATTAGACATAAAGAGTCAATTACATTAACCAATGTAACATAGTTTCAAGTACAAGACACATTTCAATTTATTAGAAATGTCTTCCAATGTAACTTTCAGTAACCAAAGTCAATACTATGTTTGCGAGATTAAACCTATCCATTACGGATAATTGAAAATACTCGTACAATAGTTGCACAAGCCAAGGCTTCGCTTTATAAACGATGACCAAAATCGTCAGAGATACGCCTCGAGTGTATAGCAAGATGCACTCTCTTGCCATTTTAAATTTACATTAAATTTCATAGAACTTTGTAAGCTTTTTAAAGCTTCCATTTGGGCTTGCAGCAACTTTCTGACATCTTACTTAGACCCTGGCAGTTACGATCAAGACGCCGAGTCTGGTGAGTGTGGATATGAAGATGTGGTTTTTCTCTTCATTTTCTCACTGTCCACCGTCTTATCTACTGGTGCCGCATCTTGGATATTCGTAAAAGACCTTCGTTTGCGTGTCCGATTTAATAATTTAGATTCACTTAGATAAATAGACCTTGAAGGCTCAGGTTCGGAGTATCAGGTTAATTATTACGAGCAACTGTGGAGGAAAAAGGAGACGTAAATACCAAATTAAATTCTGCGTCGCAATAACTCTCAGGTACATAAGAAATTAATTTCTTGGCAAAAAACCTTTACTGTCTTGGAAGCAGCCCATTATTAACCACAGCATTTTATTGCAATACAGCAGCAACCTAGATTATACATTTTATCAGCACGAAATGCTGTCGACGCAGAACTCTAGATATAACACTAATGGAAAGTTTTGTAATTTTAATTCAATTTGAATTATAAGGAATGGATTGATACAGGTTTAAGATCTCAGTACTAATTATTTATTAAAGCATAATATATTTGCCCAACGATGCCAAATTAGTTGCCCAAAGCATAAGGCCCTTTCTCCACTGCTCCGTCCGGCATCGGATACCGAATGAGTCATGAGAAAAATATCGGAGGGCCGGATTGCGCTTCTCCACTATATCCGATCCGACAATAATCGATACTTGTATAGTTATCATGCAACACTTATATTAACTAAAACCCATATACGTTATTTTATTAATAAAACGTTCTAAATTCTGAATATTTTATTGCCCTGGCAAGTTTCTTACTTTTTTTTGTATTGTCTATCTCAAAATATTATAATATACTTAATAAATAGTTCAATAATACTATGGTATAAAAATATAAATAAATAGCAACATAATTTGGTTTGGTCCAGGTTATCCAGATTCTTTCAAATTAAAGAAACTATAAATAAACCTGTGAATAATAATTTATAACCTCTTGGATACATGGATAAACTTGGACCGATAAAACACCGCGTTCCGATCTAGCAAGTTATCGGATCGTTAAAAACCGGATCCCGGAGTAGTGGAGAAGTACGTAAGTACTGTTGTGAGTTTCTAAATCGGATCGGTAATTAACGTTTGCCGGACCGGAGCAGTGGAGAAACAGCCTAATACTGCATTATTTAATCCAAACTTATATTGTCCTTCTACACAAGAACAAAATCAATAAAAACAATTTTAACAATGAAATAATCCTTTTACTTCGTCTATAAACCTTTTCAAAGTACCTACTTTCAGATACGGTAGAAGTAAATGTTTTTAGGTAAATATAACTAGTAGTATGCGTGAAATGACGCCGTAACAACCTATGTCGTCATCTCCGGGACGGCAGAGGCCAGAGACCCAACAGCATAGCAGGGGTCAAGTAACACATTGTTTTTCAATTAATAGTAACTACTTCAAATCCCTTCAAAAAAGGTTAATATTCACGTAAGAGGTTAGCGGAACGTTATTGTTTCGCACTTTAACAGGCTTACGGAATCGGCATAGCATAACAGCATTATACTCAAAATAAAACAAACTGGACCCATTTATGTGAGGATTCACGGAAAAGAACTTTCAATCACATCCTAGGTATTATCATTGTGTATACAGCGGTCGTCACTTAACGAGATCAGTATGAACTGAGGTTTGAATTTTTCGTGTTCATTATTTTATCTTAATACGAGCTAACCCGGCAAACGTTGTTTTGCCATGTACCTATATTATTTCTAGGAAACATTTTATAGTTCAATAAAAATAACTATCTACTATAATAAAAAATAGAGGTTGATCGTAGAGGGGTGAAAATTAAGGGTTGTATGTATTTTTGTATGTTGTATCATAAAAAAAAACCAATTTTTTTTATCTAAAAATTAAAATTTAGGACTGGACCAACCTTAACATTTAGGGGTTTGAAAGATAGATAGTAGCCGATTCTCAGACTTACTGAATATGTATAAAAAAATCATAAGAATCGGTCGAGCCGTTTCGGAGGAGTATGGGAACGAACATTGTGACACGAGAACGACTCCTAAACTACTTAATCGATTTCAATCAAATTTGCACACCGTGTGCAGTTTGATCTAACTTAAAAGCTAGTATAGCTTACACATATATATATATATATATATATATAATTCTACTGTACGTGTGTATGTCACTGAACTCCTCTTAAAGCGGACCGATTTGAATGATTTTTTTTTTGTATACTTTGGGTGGAGTTCTGGATGGTTTACAATCACAAATCAGCCCAGCAGATGGCGCTGCAGTCGGAACTTTCATACTTTGTTTAGTATCCTAATCGCTTAAAATATCATGCAGGACAACGTCTGTCAGGTCCGCTAGTTTAAAAATAAGTGAGCCTGCAGAGAAAATTTCACGAACTTCAGAGTTTCTTAGTAGTTTTTCCTCGTCCGTTAAATTCAAATTCAAATTCAAAAATCATTTATTCACGTAGGTAACACAATGTACACTTGTGATTCGTCATTAAAGAAATAAATATTAATGCTTCTAATTTTACATTTACTGCCAGTTCTCAAATCAAGGGCGTGGAACGGAAGAGAAGAACTGCCAATAAACTCTCCGCCACTTTTTAATCGCCATGTTTTTTTTTTTTTTACACAACGTTTGTAAGGAGCTGCAACCATTACACCATGTTCCACATGACATTTTAAGTAATTAATAATAATAACATAAATAAAAACAAAAACTTGTCCCCTATCAGCAGGAGGCATGGTGAAATAGGAGCACGCACTTACATTCTCGTGGGAACAACACGCAAACACATAGTCGAAATAATTAACATCACCGCATACACGAATTCAAGTACGACCAGTCACCACAAGTAGCACCCGTTCACGAGTATGACGCATGGCCAGCCATCGGCCCTCTCGCCATATTTTAGGGAGAGAGACAACCCGACGCATGGACGTTATTCGAATGTTCAATTAAGTTATGAATGTTTGACGTTCGACTTAGACATTTGTAGCGTCGAATCCACAACGTAAATATATTGAATAAATATAATATATAGTTATAAAGAAGTACTTACCACCAGACACATTATCCAGGGTGAAAGCGTTGAACTTCCACGTCGCAGACTGCTGCAGAATACACTGTAAACAACAAACAAATATGACTGTGAACATGTATCAATATCACAATACATAAGTTTCTATAGTGTAATTTAGTTCGCACAGCACTATATTACACTAAAATATATCGTGATTCGTGACAATACCAATTAAACACAGACCTTTCATATTATATATCGTGGACTGAAGATTACATCGTGGTAACTATGGAAAACATATCAATATGGTCCCCATATTCCAAAAAAAACACAAATATAATTCTAAAGAGATTAAGGATCGAGACATCACGATGAGTCCCATTTGTCATCATCACGTTTTTGAATGGGAGCCATAGTTCGTGCTAAGTCTCGACTTAGTCTTTAGTCCACGTTTCATAAAAGGGCCGTTCATATTATTTTTTCAATCACTTGATGAATGATAGATGACAATTTGTAATAAAGTCGCCTTTTCGCGGGAAAAATAATCTTACCAGTTAGTACCTACTATTCTGTCTAAGACATGTCAACGTAATCATAATTACTAACCTATAAGCTATATCACTGTACAATATAATGTGTTATTCTTATGATTTTCTTTGTCATGTGGAGCAAGGAATGCATGTAAAAAGAACGGCACAAGTTGCCGATATTCTTGGCGTTCTACGCTCTTGATTTGCAAACTGGGGGTAAATGTCAGTTTATAGTAATTGAATTAAAAAAGAACATTCATAAGTCTACAATAATAAGTATTATTCGTAAGTATAAATATATCATTATATATTTTAGTCATAACTTTGTAAAACCGATTTCAATTACATTTTATAAATTGTCTCATTCTTTCACAAATCCTTAACTAAGCAAAATGATAAATTCGTAGCTGATTTAAGTATGCTTTAAATATAAAATTATTATTAGTTAATGAAATATCATAACGACGACTCAGCCGTCAGTCAGCTATCAGATTGCGCAACGAACATTATACAAAATTTACTTACTTTTCAATTCAAAATGCTTGAACAACATCGTAAAGTAGGTTGAATCGGTCAATTCCCTTGCCAAATTACGCAGCACCAAAGTATATGCAGTTACTTGTGGCGTTTTGACCGCAGACAAAAGATAACAAAATAAAAACAATAATTCAGACTTTTTATGACGCTATTTACATTTGGATTAAACAAAACTCATATAGCCACTGCAATATTTTATTTATACGAGAAACCTCTTGCCAAGGCTTATTATAAAGTTATATTATCTTTTGGCTGCCGCTCTAATATGTATGTTGCGGTAGTGTATAAGTATTAAAACCCCTAGGATTTTCTGGGATTAACATTTCACGCTTTAAAGTTATACAAACCAATATAGTTTGAGATTTAATAGGAATATAACAATGCAATTTAATTAAAGAAGTCTGTCACCTGTTATTAATACTGTGTGTGTTTGAAAGCATTTTGTTATAAATACAAGAATAATTAAGTAATTTTTAATGCTTCCAAACACACAACTATACAGTAATTACAATATTTTTAGCATAGGAAAAATAAAATTAAGAATTAATAAATAGAAAATTTAAACCAATTTAAAGAGTTTGGTCCCTGTGGCAGTGTACCTTTAGTAATTAAAAATAGTTTTATTGACTATTTCTAGATAACTTTAATTGTATTTAGCAGAAGCTAAGCAATATAATTTGTTTTATATCGTATGCCAGTATACAAAACAATATTCAATAAACTAACGAAACGAAACCTCAAAGGCCTTTGCAAAACAATTGAATGGAATATCGAAGTTCTGATAGTTCAGAAAAGTCACAAGGAATGTTTTTGAGCGGATATCATTTTTTCTGTAACCGTAAAAATCCTGTATATTTTTAAAGAATTCAAACAAATCTATAATATTCAAATGCAATCGACTATATATATTTTTAGCATAAGTGGTTTCACAATGCATTAAAGCGAATACTTGTTTTTTATAGTATTTATATTTTGTTACGCTGAAGTTCCAAATTTAGTGCTTATCAATAATAATCTAAATGCATTGAAAAATAAGTTTTCTTCAAGTTATACTGTCATCAACTGGCTTACAACTGCTAAACGAATATGTATCTAATATCTACAAAAATAGAGGTGAAATTTAATCGAAATTTAATGTTTCCTACATCATAACTCACTGAGCTGAAAATTTACACTAATGCGCTGTCGACTTCCTTTTAACTGGTCATACTCGTAAACGAAAATATTTAAAGGTATTTAGTATCGTGATGTACCTTCAATATAAAATATTATGTAGTCTAAACTGATATTATTGGATTTACGGTAACAACAATAATACTATGTGGAAAAGGAATGACGCAGGAACATATATAAATGATGTGTTAATTTTATTTACTTCCAAAGTACACTTGTCAGTTCCTCTGTATTTTTTATAGGCAGCACGGCTCATCTGATGCTAAGTGACGCCGCCCATGGACACTCACATTGCCAGAAGGCTCGCAAGTGCTTTGCCGGCTTTTTAGGAATTGGAAGGCTCTTTTTGAAGTTATACTTCTTTAGGCGCGTTATGAAAAATTTATGAGAGTGAAATTTTACAATGCGCGCGCACCCGTGACACAAAATTAGGAGTGTGATTATAGCGTGCGCGAGCGAGATAGGAATAAGCCAATCTACAAGTAAAAAGAAATAGAATATGCGTGAAGTTCGTATGCCAACAATTTTGAATGACCATAATGACATTTGTCATTTACCTTTTAAACAAATAAAGGAGTTTTAATTATTTTTTCAAAGAAATTTAGCGATGCTTTTTTGAATTATAATCAGAAGTGATTTAAATTGAATATTTAAACCAATACTAATTAATATTTGTGAAAAAACTGTGCTCATCAACCTTCCTAAGTGCTTCAATACAATTGAGGTTAACTATCCGTATGTATTATTATTATTATCGAGTAATGTTTTGATTAAAAAATTAACCACATTGTTTAATCAAAACATGTAATTTTTCTGATTTTATCTAGCAAATATAAGGAAAAGACACAAAAAACAATTGATGAATCAGTGTAACTGCACTAAATTGAATACAAAAAAAGAGTTTTCATCTTATCGCTGTGAAACATCAAAAACTGGAGGTGGAACAAAGCCAAACTATTTTTAATATTGCCAAAGAAGTATAACTTCTTACGCGCGTACACGGACCCTTTTTTTTTTGAAGGATCAAGGAGGATTGTCGAATAGTAGAATTGGTTCGGAAACTCTTTATCAGTGGTGTCTTGAAACATTGAATTTAAAGCTGATCAAACACTTGCGTTTAGTCAACGTCGTTGATTCCGGAGTACTTCTACCATACAAAGAAAAGTCCATTACGGGCTGAGATGGAAACCAACGGACCTCGCGCTTAAATGAAAATAAAAGTTTTACTGTAGTGGACACTAACAGGAAAGGGAAGGAAATTTCGCATTTATATTTTTTTCTAACAGTGACAACACGATAACAGAAGTTAAAACTTATGCAAACATTATTACATTCATTTATTTCGCCAAATCTGGAGGAAGTAAAGCGAAATGTGTCTCAAGAAAAGAACAGCTGTTTCTTCACGTTTAATCTCTACAATCAAAGATTTCTCCACAACAAGAGCAATAACCTTCTACGCCTATTTTTGTCCTGATGAATATCTTATTGTTAGTATGCCTGTTTTAAATACCTTTTATTAACCAAGTTCAACGCGACATTAGCTAAACATATGTTGTTACATAAAAAAATCGAAACACTTAAAAAGTATTTGTTTTACAAAAAGTTACTGCCTTAGTTAACCAAAAATCAACAGCAAGGCTTTATTAAAAAACAACCTATTTAATTTAATTAAACATTAAAAAAAATTAATTTTTAATTTAACAACAACAGTGAAACACTATCATGCCAGGTCGACAGGAGCTAAAGAAAATGCGACTAAACTTAAATATTGTCAATTATAAATGTGTTATAATATACATAAGGAAAGTATGGATATATGATTTTTTTTATATATAACAGGGGGCAGCTATGAACGAATTATTTGTCACACGAAGTAGGGAATTGAAATGTTTCATCATACAGACACAAATTAGAAAACTCCTTTGATAAGATATCTGTATTACATCACTACATTCAATCTGCATCCAACAGTATACATAAATTAATAATGGCGCTTCGTGATATGAAAATAAGCAGCACGATTTAGTGCATTGTTACAAGCTACCTTTCACTTGGCTGTGAACGGATAAACAAATAATTCTAAATTTATTACGTTTATATATATTACAATCAACCTTTTTTTTTTAATTCAACATAAATTTACTAAATCCCGTATATAGCCTCGCACAGCTGTACCTTTATATGTTTTAATAAACTGGAAATAAATATAGCCGATGGAACAAAAGAATAATGCAACATTCTATAGAAATTGACTTTTGGAAATCAGTAGTTTTAAGTTTACCAACATACAAAAATATAGATATTTCCTCACTATAATATTACTCCAGATTGTACACATTTAAAAGATAAAGACTTAGTACGTCACCCTTATAGCTAATGCGATGCAATAATGCCGACATTATCATGTAGCTAAAAACGTGTTTCTTCCAGGACACTCGTGTTAATTTACATAACTCCTATGTCAAAACCGATCATCCGGATAGAATACGGAGTAATATTAGAAATAGAATAGGATTATCAGAGTATACAAAGCATTCCAAATCCAACCGCGTTAGTCGTTTGTTAAGATACAATTAAAATATAATTAAAGTTTAAAAGGAACCTGCTAGGGCACCGCTATGTCCACCTGCGTTAGGCGCTATAAAATATATAACCTCTTTCTGAAATAATTAATTTTAAATTGGCCATCAGTTAAGACTATGGCTTAGTAGATAAGTATTTACTAGATATATTTAGCAGTATAAATCTTTATTTACTAAATAAAATCCAGGTTATCTAAATAAGTTTACTTTATTACGATTCGTTATTAAAATTCATTTAATTTAATAGGAAATACAAATTTTCCGAATTATACACAGATTAACAAATAATAAAGGCCATAAATGAACAATCACAGCTACCTTGACAGTAGCCGCATCTTAATATGTTTTCTGAGCACACAAACATGCAGACAACGGATAATTGCCTCATGAATACTAACAAATGACATTAAAATTTGACAGCCAACATATTGAAGGACAATGTAATGACCAAGGCGAATAGAATAAAGCCGTGACAATTAGCGTTTTCCTTTGTTTTATTTATTCAACCCGAAACCAATTTCAAATCTCATTCTGCCTCATTCATAGATATGAAAAAAATCTTCGCTTCGGGCTTGTTTTTCAAAGCAGCATAACAATTGAAAAATATCTAAACGTCGCTACGGATCAGCAGTAATAGAAAAGGATAATAAAGCGAATTATTCATCGGTCACTTGCAGTGGCGCTGCGTTGCAGCTAAATTTTACACACGTGATGTTGTCTCATAAAGACCGAATATACAAGCGCTACTAGTCACCCGAACCTAAAGTGTACGTATTTAGAATTTTACAAGTTTCCAGCTTTTCAGCTCATATACGTGAATATTTCATATTTCATAGACATAAGCACCTGAATGATAAAAGTCCGCAGTTCCAAAACATGTAAGCTCCTACATCACATCGAAACATACCTATAGAATTTGTAAGTGTATATAGAATCTATATATGTTTCATTCAGTACACACAAGCTGCCCATTTATTTTAACTTTATGGTTATATACACACATAGCGCACAGCCTAAAACTCAAAAATCTGCTCAATCATTTAATTTTAACAACTTAAGTTATTGATTGCCCGTAAAGAATGCGTCACCTTACTTGCACTTATAAATTTATTTGCAAATACTACACTTGCAAATATAATGGTTAGATCCCATAAATTTACTTCAGATGTTAGAAACATGGTTTTGGTTTTGGCCTCACCATCTAAGCTGTAACATTTTGGTTATTCCAGGAATCAATCACATCCTGGATCAACTATTTTAAACACCTTTCTAATAAATGCTTAAATTTTAAGGCTCATGAGGGTGGTATAGCGGAAGTGTCTGCTCCTACGTGGCTTGAATAAAAATCCATTTAAGAAACACTACTATACGCTTGGCACCTAAACAAAACACGATCAATCCTTCGCATTGCAACCATCGCAGTTGACCGATCATAGAAGGCTATGCGACTTACGTTAACGAGTAAATAAGAGCTGGAATATTCGTCACTCCACTTGCCTGCACTTGTCCTAGCAGCAGGTCGTCCAGCAGTGCCGTCTCCTGGCTAAGTGATCTGGTGAGGAGACGCTTCTTACGGCGCTTGTGCATCGTGAGGAACTTGCCAGTGCTGACCAGGCGCTTCGCCATGCTATCTAAGTCATTCAACTCCAGTATTTGCCTCCGCGGTTGAGTTACTTGCACTGAAACAAAACAATTAGTGTAGTATATTATATATCCCAAAAGTTTTTTTTTATCAGAAATATACTGATGCAATAATCAACCAATTCTAGATTTGACAGCTCTTAGTTTTAAATACGCTATATTTATAACTAGCTAAAAACATACTAAACTAAACAACCAGCCAGCGAGCGAGCATGAAATAATTTTCGAAACATTAATTTATTTTGAAATAGTGTATAAAAGATAAGATATATATATAATCTAATATATATAAAATTCTAGAGTCACACATGTTCGTTCCCATACTCCTCCGAAACGGCTCGACCGATTCTTATGAATTTTTTTATGTATATGCAGTAAGTCTGAGAATCGGCTGCAATCTATATTTCAAACCCCTAAGTGTTAAGGGGTCCCCACCCGAAACCTGTCACTCATTATTTAGACAATAACACGCTAAAACAAAACTTATCTAATAATTTAGTTAATTATTTATTATCATCACAAAGAAAACGTTTATGCTTTAAACACGTTAAATGTCAAACAAACAATACATTGCGTTGCTTCAAATGCAGAACATTATGTTAAAATGATAAATTTAGAAGCATTCTCATAAACAACTAGAAATTATACAAAACATATTAATTCCAAGGATAGTGCAATACAAATTTATGTTCATAAAAATTTATGGTATGTTTATTTTATGTATGTAGATACAACAACAAACATATAGTCAGGTGGGGTAAATGCATGAACGGGGCAAATGTAATACCATAACTTTAACTGTTTACACACAAAAGAAACTAGTGCTGGAATTCCTTATAATTAAATTAAAAAAAAAGTAAAAATTATTTGTTAATTGTAAAAGACCACGAAATAACAAGTCAATCTAGTTATGGTACTCGCATTTACCCCACCTGACCCTATATATAATATACGTAATACCTTGTAGTTTTTGGGACTTGAAATATATGTATATATCGGAGCAACGGCATTCAGCTGTCAGCTGTCACTGTCATTATGTCGTAGAGCTTATAAATTATAAACGTCATATTTCTCTAAAACCGTCAATACCGTAGTCATTATTATTATTAAAAGTAATTTATTATGTCTAAGCGATAACAGCTGGAATCACTATTACTATCGACATTAAAATAGTTCATTTATAGATCTAGCAATATTAGCGAAACGAATAAAAATCAAGTGTTAAAGGTTTTAAACTAATTTGACTTTGACGTTGTTAATTTATAAGCTCCATGAGATAATGACAATAGTAGCTGACTGGTTGGAAAAAAAATCAAGAAATTGTTCGGTAGTCCATTTCCTGTTTCAAAAATCCTCCTTTAGAAGCGTCGCGAGCGCTGCGCAAACTGTTAAAGTTACGTAAAAATTACAGAATTTGTGATCTTAAATTGATACGGATGCAAAACACGGGTAACAAAAAAGTCCGAATCCAATTCAATAACGTATTTTAATTCTTTATCTCTAAAATGAATATACCACAGGTCACTACCTAAAACCGTATCTGTGCCATTTAACAGTTTTGGTTCACGGGCCAAGGTTTTATTATAATAATGTTAAACAATCTAACACGCGGCGGAATATTTATATTGATTGTACGCAAACGATTAGTACATGAGTGCGTAGAGGCAGAAGTCCAGCAAGCGCAAGTAACGGCTTTGAAATAGATATCCAATATTACCTATATAATCGATTGTGAAAACGCAACCATCTCGAACCTAACAATTTATTTTAGGGGCAGGGGTGATTGGCTATACTACTCAGGCTGATCAATGGACTTTGGGGTAGCAAGTTGTGGTAGCTTTTCGTTCCAAACCTATACAAATATAGCTTCCATGGGAATTGAAGCCAGGCCCTGCGGATTATACACCATTTATACGGGCAACGATTTTATCATAACATCAGTTACATAAACGAGGTGTTCAGTAAGAATAAAATATATATCGACCTTGTTTTTAAACCAGTACCTAATCGGCCATTTAGTAACATAAGTCTATAAGAGTTTACTAAATGAATAGTCGTATAAAACAATAACCTGGCTTACTCAATTTAAATATTCATTATTGGAAGAACACTCCACGTTAAAAATAGATTCGCCACAGTTACAACTTATTATAGAATACGATGTTAAGAATCAGCGGTGTCGATGCGCAATCCGCCGATTGAACATTTACTGATAGCTTGATCATAAAGAGATAACAATAGTGATGGGTAGTATTTAATCTCGTCTCGTGTCAATTAAGCAATTTTAGCACAAATGCAAAATTCTGACCATGACATATAAACGAAAAGTTCACGGTCACCTATGAGGTGGATCAAATCAAGAATGCATAGGTCGAAAGGGTTGATGAAGGCAGTAAATTGATGTCAAGTGTATCATTTACTCCAAGGTATCCACCCCGATTTGCCATGACCGATATTGCCAGAATTATCGATTGAGTACTATAAATTAATAATACAATGCAGCGCAACTTTGTCATTGACCACTTGTCATTGACTTATATGCTATGTTCATTATAATTATGTACGAGTATACATAATTTTTTTATACAGATTTTCTCTCTCACTTCGGTTGGTAGCTTATGTCTTACAGATTTTAAACAATTTCAATTAATTCCTCGAAAATAGCAACCAAAGTTTCCGTATTTTTCGTGTGCGTAACTAATCCTGTAGCAGCTACAGGCTTAGTTTTTACTGACGCCCATAAGTGTAACACATTATCTTAATGAGTAAATTACATTTTGATTTGATTTATAAAGTTAAAATAATGCTGAGTGACGTTTGATTATGATTGGCTAAACGATAGTGTCACATGTTCGTGATTTGTCAATATATCGCTTTAAGACGGCACAGTGTAAAAATATTTACACAGACTTCGCGAACGTTTAATAGTCCAACACTATTTCGAATTGCCATTTATCAGACGTTGTTGACTGATTGCTGATAAGAAAGACAGTAAAAGCATGTATGAATCGCGTCAACAAATATGTAATACCCGTGTGTCTACTTTATACAAACGGCATTTTGCATTCTCCAGGATACAGCAATGTTAGCTTAGTGGATAAGTTTACAAATCTCAACCCTCAGGTCGTGAATGCAAAATCAGTTTATACACAAAATTATTTCCACGGTACGGTATAGAGAAAGGATCCTTGACCAGTCTTACGACTAACTGGCCGGCCCTTAGGCCCTAAGGCCACTGGGGCCAAGGTCAAGAAGTTGTGTCCTAGCGGCCGGAATAGTTACCTAGGTCGGAATAGTACCTTTTATACCGCATTTCAGGGTATTTATAAATTACGCGACATCATAGTATTTGTAGGTGTCGATATCGCAATTTTGTCCGCCTAGGCCTAACAAATAAAATAATATAGTTAAATGATTCTTTCTTGGCCAAATTTTATAAGTTATTCATAAAACGTATAAACGCATAACCAGCAAGTGTCTTAACCTCGCATTATGTATTCATTTCGCGTCTCATTCGGGAATTTCGCCAATAACTATACGCCATCTGAGCGATATATTACGAAGTTACTGCAGTGTTGTATAATTCCGTATTTTATAATGTTATAGTTATTATAATTACTTTTTTTTTTAATTTTAAAATTTAACACGCTATTATAATTACTTTTATAGAACAAGACAAACCTGCAGGCGGATAAATTCAAAGTCGAGACTTATCGCACATCGATGCAGAATAAAAAATACCACCCGTATCACCTCGACGTCCGTCGTACCACAACTGAGTATTTAATGCAAAAACATGCCGCGCACAACTATTTGAAACCAGTTGCCCACTAAAGTATTTCCAAACCTATTTAACCTATTTAATTTGAAGGACCCTAAGTCCTTCAAAAAGTAGTTATGGAAAGTTCAATCCGTCCACCCCCCCAAGCAAATATTTAACAAGAGTATAAGGAAAAATAATATACGGTGATTGAATTAACTAACCAAAACAATTAAAAATTAAATTTTCACAACATAAGCTTAAAATACTAAATTTAATCATAGTTTTCGCTACCCTTACGTTCGTTTAATTTCTAAATACTTTCATAAAAGCACGCCAAACTACAGGTTTTATAAAATTCAATTGTTAGTAACTTAAATAGTTTTCTAGACTACTAACTCTCGGTTAAGCTAATCGGCTAATCGGACTATTGATAAACTCTACCTCGCTCTCTCACTTGCTAAACGAAAACAGAGGAAAAGGGCGATATTGTTTTTTATAATAATTCGTTTTAAAAATTTAACCCAAAAGGGTGTATTCCCTTTACTGACCCCAGTAACAATTATATATCATCGCGGTATGTGTATTGTGTATATTATATGAGCAATCTTGTCCTCAGCGTGTGACTCTCGTCTCTGAGATCGTAGGTTCGATCACCGGCTGTGCACGAATGGACTTTATTTCTGTGTTATCATTCACTCGAACGGTGAAGGAAAACATCGTGAGCAAACAGGCTTGCCATAGACCTAATCAGTCGATGGCATGTGTAAGGCACAGGAGGCTGATCACCTTGCCTATTACTTTGACAAATGATTATGAAACAGATACAGAAATCTTAGGCCCAGACCTAAAAGGCTGTTGCGCCATTGATTTATTTATTTATTGTATGTATGAGTATTCTACCTTACTCAATATCAGCATGGTTAGCATACGCCCTACTTCGAGTGGCAAGGAACATTTCCATATCCATCATCATTCTGACAGTTGACACACGTAAACTATTCACACCTGTTGGTGAAGCAACATTGTTATTTTACATAATATCACCAACTCAATTTCATCTTACCGTTAGACTTTATTTATTTATGAGAAGTTTGCTGTTTACACGATTGTGTAAGGCAGCTTTAATAAGGAAAGTGTATGGGAAAGTGAAAAGTGCCAAATATAGTTACTTTGTTTATTGTTACATATTAATTCAATAAATAATAGATAACGTACAGTTAGT